ACAAGACGAGGGTCGCGCGTGCTACGCGCAGCTCCTCCGTTGCACACACCACCACCGCGAACGAGACACACCAGCCTGATTGCAGACCCCGTCTTCGTCGGCACCACGCCCTGACCCACGAGATTTTCAAGATACCCGACACACGACCCACAAGCCCCACACTTTATGCGGGGTCAACCAACTCGACCCCTCGTTACGAGCGCGATATCGATACAACAGCGCGGCGCGGCGCACCGAAAGTTTCTTACGACGGTGACGGTACTTAAACGCGGATAAAAAAAAAACGAAGAAGCGTTTATTGTTAGCCTCGGGGCAAACCTCCCTTTAAAAATACATGTAAGTAAATATAAAGGGTCTTTACAATTGCGTGCGTTTACTCAAGCATATAATATCGGAAGTCAAGCAGGAGAAAAAATGAGCAGTTGTCCAGCAACAAGACAATTGTGAATCATAAGTAATTGAAAATGAAATAATATTGGCAAGAGTTGAGAAATTAAACATTAACAAATTTGTCTTTAGAGATGCATGTAGATAGAAGAAATTTGCATTTTATTTCAAATAGATTTTGCTTTGACAGAAGCGTAATTTCAGGCTCAATTACCAAGATATTTAACTTTGAAAAGAAATATTATGTCTAAAAAGATTTTTATTAAGATAAAACTTTAAGTCAAATATGTAATCATGGAAAAAGACATATATCAAATATATCAAATATATCAAATATATATCAAATATAAATATCAAAATAGTTAACAAAAAGTCAATTTATAATAACAAATTGTCAGACGCAATAAAATTTCATTCGCAATTATCCTACTTTGCTGTAACAAATGCATATTACAATAAAGAAGTAAAAAGCGAACAGAAGTGGAACAGAAAAGATATAAAAATAAAGACTCACCCGTGTCGAAGGAAGCGAAGACTCGGCACGATGTTGACAATGCTCCGGTGACTCGTGGTTCTGCCGGTGATTCTTCTGCAACAACAAAATTCGTGATTAGCCCTGGATTGGTTGATACGAACCATCGATTCGGTACTTAAGCTCCCCGGATGTTTGTTCTCGAGAATAATCGCTTGCGATGTATAGGTCGAGCTTAGAGAGAACAAGCTACGACCGAAAAACCGAAACTCTGCGTTACGTGCCGGAGGTCAGGAAATTCGCACGCCAGGCGCTATATTTTGCACATATTCGAGAGTTCAATGTTAGAAAAGTATTTCATGAATCTTAAAAAAAAAAACGAATAAATTGTGAGCGCCATTTTATAAATGCATATTTATGTATTCAAATATAAATAAATTGTTATTCCGTAATCACATTAGTATTAAAGTTACAATAATATGATATATTTTATGACATATTATAATACAGCATAATTACACGTTGTGACAACCAAGCAAAACTTGTAACAAATAATGTATGGAATAGAAAATCTCAATTTTCATTAATCGATTCTTCTCATTTTTCTACATATTACAATATAGATATATAATTAAAATTATTTTTTACTATATCTTTGATGTTATTGACTAAACATGAGATGACGGCTGATATATCAGCAAATCAAAATAAACGTTATATAGATGACGATATATAGATGATGCTCTGTTTGCAGCCTTTAATAAGTAAACATCACGTAAAATGCATCGCGACATTTCTGTGAAAGCAATGTTTCGAGCGTGACACATCATGTTGGACGGTGCAGCGAATTTAAAAAGTGACTGACACACTGCGGATCCGTATATAATATATTTACATATTAGCGGAATAGAGCGATACCTTCGAATCACATCGCGTATTCGTCCCGGATTATTTCGAAAGGTGAGAGATGAAAATGCGGTTCTCCGCAGTACGTCGTCCATCGTGCGCCTTCAATTTTCATTAAGCAAAACGCATTATAAAAATTAGACATCATCAAAAGACAAAGTGATGATCAATAATGACCGAATAGAATTCGTGCGCATTAAAATTGAATCAATTTCAACTAACGCCCTCGATGTATGAAGTATTCTCCACATCCCAGATATATTTCCTCGTTATTCAATTTTACGAATAATATCTGAATACGCGCAGTTTGATAGATCTGATCAGTTTTTGATAGCTTTTCCCTTTATTCCGATTGCGCGAGACACCGTAGCGATGCGTAAGGCGTCGTTCGAGGAGAATTATTCCAAGCAGCGCGCGAGAGCGCGATATCGAGAAGACGATGGAATTTCTGCCGACGAAATTCTTGCGCCAGCCGAGGAATTTCCGGACTAAAGAAATCGGGAGCCGGCACACGGCAGCGGTACAAGGAGTGATCTGCGTATTTCGCGTCAAATCGACGAAAGTCGTTTCCAAGCTGTTAGCGGGAGTTCGAAATAGTTCGGTGAAGAAAGCGGCAAAACTGACATCACCCGCGAGCGGTATTTGCGAGCGGAATCGCGTTGCGGCTCGGCCGACCGCGGCTTCCCACGGACAGGCGCCGGAAGTGCCGTACCTCCGAGACATGGTACGTACATACACACCCGGGGTTAATTCGACAGTTGCCGGCGTTGTGGAGGTCGAGAATGTTCTCTCTCGGATTCTATCCGAAGTATTCCGAGTATAGAACGCGTACCGCCGCAAACTGACCGCCAACTGGCGATTTTTGAGGAATCCGAAGGTGACTGACGCGCCGCCTCCACCCTGATCGCTCGATATCGATCTCTCCGCGGATTTGAGGAGGAATCGTGTTCTGACCGCCGAATCGGAGCATCGGGAGATAATTCCCTCGCATATAGGTATACATACACACCCGCACGAAAATCGATGCTATTCCGGTACGACGCGTTTACGCGCTAATGCCGAGGCGGTTTAACTCGCCGCTAATGTCATTGGCTATCGAAACAATGGATAAGATTGTTAATCTCAAACTTAACAATGTATTTTATAACAGCTTTATATTCTCGTATTTTAATATCATCAGCTGCAATGATTTATTGTCAATTAATGCATTTTTTCAATTCTGTATCTGAATTATACATAAAAAAATAACTATTATATTTTTTCATGTCATATCATTTTAAATACATTTCCATATTTTGCAAAGTTAATATATAAATGTGCACAGCGAGAGATTTTCGCACCTATTCGTTTTCAAATGTAAATCTTTCCTCGAGCTTGAAAAATGCAGATAAAGACTTTAATTTGCACGAACATGAAAAATATTGAATTTATCTCTCTAATTTCCACTTCAAAAAAGCACATATGATACATTTTCTGCAGTTTGTGATATTTTTCGAAATCGCAAACAGATTTTTGTAGTATATTGCAGACGTCCACAGTATTCCGACGGAACTCTATGATGCATGCTCAGTCTTAATTAAGCTCATGCATCTTCCTGGATGCGCCTCTTGAAAAATCTGCAAAAGTTTGTTCTAACACACGTCTATCATGAACGGTCAAAGTGACTCTCGACGCGTTACCTAGAATTTTCATATCGTACATATAACTTTAACTAGATTGACATATTATACCGTTGGTTTCAAAGAATGTTTTCTTCTTTTTTTTTCAATTCCCATCGCGAAACTTGTCGGAAGCTGCGTAAGTAATAGTGGGCACGTGAAAACAAGAAATGGCGAATTATAGAGCGCGAAAGAAATCTCGCTCGACATGCGGAGACAATGCCGAATACGCGCTCCCGTTGTAATTCGAGCGCGAAACTACAGGGGAGACTTCCTCTCCGAGACATGTATCTCGGTCTCCGAGATAACGTATAGTCGCGTCGTTTGTCACAGAATCTCGCTACGCACGCCCCCGTTCTTGCACCCACATCTTCTCGCATGCCCGTGGGTTTCCGGTTACCGCACGAAGACCGACTCCATTGCGGATCATTAAAGAATTTCCAACTGCAGCCTTATGGCACATATTTCTTAACGTGCAATTTAACTTCAGTTGCAAAATATGCATTCTATATTTTTCGTATTTGCATTGATATTTGTTATAATTCTAGATGCAGATATTATCTAGACAACATCTATATTGATTAGTATTACCTAGCAGTTGTTTCATTTCTATAAGAATCTCTTAGTATTATAAAATTGTGTGATATTTTTCGAAATTAAGATTTCAAACAAATAAATATAAATTTTACATTAGTTGAGAAAAAAAGAAAATAGTATGTATTGCATCATTGAACTCTGAGGAAACTAGTACAGTATTAGCATTGACAATAATTTCATGTTTTTGCTTCAGTGAAGAAATTCCGAATCAAGTCTCTAAGCACATGAGGAATGGCGAAAGTACGTGAATTCATGTACTATACGAATTCATATACTACACGACGCCATAAAATAACGCGAAAAACAACGTCGACGTGCGCGACTCAAAAATTCCAGCAGACATGAGGCGAAGTCGCGGGCGCCGCGTATCTGCTTATAATTCGAGTGTAAAATCGCAAAATAACGCGACGAGAAATTCCGATGCCGACAGCTCGGGAATTCGGAGGCGGTGGGAAACTAAGTTTCCATAGGCTGTATATTTCATGTCGGTGGGAGGTGCAGAACCGCAAAATAATAGGAACGCCGCCCCTTTTCGTAGACGCGCGCGTCTTCTCGAATCGACCGTGCGAGTTGCGAGCCTCTCTCTCTCTTCCTCCCCCCTCCCCCCTCTCTATCTCGCATTCCACGGGTTTCTAACCCGCTCGAAGAAAAATATCGGCACGCCCGAGGCCGCGAGGAAAGAAAGAGGGCGAATCCGCCGAGTTGCTGGAAGTAACGCACGAAGACGAACGAGCGTCGTCCGAATTCCGCGCGCCGTAAATCCGCGCGACGCCGACTGATCCGCTTCGCCGGTAAAAGAGGAAGATCGTTGGGGATCGGAAAGGTAAACAGAGTAGACACATACACATCGAGGTGAGCGAACAAGAATGAGAAAGAGAGAAACACAAGAAGAGAAAGAGAAAGAGAAAGTGAGAGAGGGAGAGAGAGAGAGAGAGAACTATCGGGACTTCCACGGGAATTCCGTAAGTCGTGCGTTCTCGTGCTGTAAATCGAGCCCGAAACCAGGCAGCAACAACGGCAGCGGACCGCCGAGAGATACCCAACCCCTCGGTGCTCTCGCGTGTATCTCGATACGTTACCCCTTTCCGGACAGAGGGGCGAGGGTCGAGAAGAGAGCCGCAGAGCTCGAGACGGGTCGAGGTTGGGAGACGATTGCTTTGCACTTCTGTGCACGCCCTCGGGGCAATCGTAAGTTGAGATACCTAGTAGGGTATCCACCCCCCTCCCTCAATCGTTGTACCCCTTCTGCGTCCCCACACCCTCGGTCTTCCATCTACCCTCGTTCGTTCGTTCGCTCGCTCGCTCGCTCGCGCTCTTGGCTCTGTTCGTACTTCTCTCTTCTGGTGCTCCTCTCCTCGGTGGCGACGCCGAAGTCTGGAGCCCCGAATGCAACCGGCACCCGCGAGAAGGAGGCAAAGGAGGTCGAGGGGCGCGGAGACAAGGAGGCGAGAGATCGATCGCTCGAACGTGCTTTCGGCATCGTCGAATATTACCTACCACCTATATTCCCGGCCACATAGCCGGTGTATGTACGTACGTAATACTCTCCGAGGGAGGGTACGTATGAGTGGGGTAGATAGGTGTACGTGTACGGGGTGTCCCACACCTACCTACCTACCTGCGAGCCTTCAGCCTCTCGGATGATAGAGAGCCGTGACTAAGAAGAATGACGGTTGTTACAAAGTGGGAGGCATCAATAGCTATTGAGTTAGAAGCGATCGAAAGTCGACGAGAGTTTTGATGAATTAAGCTCCGCGGCGTATAAATGGATAACAGAATCTCCCTTTTATCCCGCTTTCGGGAGAACTTCGGCCGAAGTTTAATCTGAGCTTTAATTGCGAAAGTAACGCTGCAATTTATGGAAAAAACTCGTCGGCGATGTTCGAGCGAAAATCACTTTTATAATTTACCGAGGAACCAACGATTCGGTCGCGCTCGCGTGTTAACCCCGAGACA